TTTTTTTCACATGAAAATTTTTTCATTTGTTCTTAAACATAATTCCTCATAAATGATTACACATAAATGTATACAATTTTTCGCATTAAAAAACATTTTTATAGTATAAAATATTACTAAGAGTAATCGCAATTACGCAAACCAATTTTCCAACTTTGATTTTTTTGTACAGTACACAAAATGAACTTACAGAATCCTAAAATATAGAAAATAGTACGAGCTTAATAATAACGGAGGTGGTGTAAAAATTTTCAAACTACAAGTATTATGAGATTTCTGTCGTATTTGTAAGTATATTGTTCACTTCAAAAAAAGTGACTAGTACATGGGTATAGGAGTTTACATATTTCGGAATGGAGGGAGAATCAAAATGGTCCCCTAAGATTTTCCTTGCTTATTTACCTGAGATAAATCTTCAAAACAACAGGGAGAAGCTGCAACAGAGATCTGAAACCTCTAATAATAGAATAAAAATAAAAGTGCCATGTATAAGGGTTTGCGAGATAAAAACCACCAAAATAAATGCTTCTGATAACAACTTTGAGTCAGTGGAGACTAATCAAATGGACCATTTTTATCACCACAGTAGAATCTCTTGAAGAGAATCCTTGTGGCTCGTAGTAATGGATACCCTAGCGTGGCATGATACGTACGAACGAGAATTCATTTGTCAAAAACTCGATGGCTCACCGGCAAATCTTCGTCTCTTACTTTTACGAGCGGCACAACTTGATGTGCCGCTGATAAAACAGCCGGCAAGAAATTCATCTCTCTTTCTCTTTTTCTCTGTTCATTCTGCCTTTCTTAGCTTCGTAAGATGCTTACAAAAATGTTGCTTTATGCTCGAGGATTTTTATCTGATTTTACAACTTTGCACCCTAAAACTGTACTCTGTTCCCATCTGTGTCTTTATTATACAGAAATAAAGTTAAATGGCTAAAGTAGCTCATATAAAAGGTCTTCATTTCTAATACTTGAGTATTTTTTCATCAATGAGAACCTGCAAATTCGATAATTTAAGTATGCTTGGCCATTGTTTAAATCTTGCATTAACCTTAACCGCATCTATGGTTAACAATATACATATGTTATTGTATATATATCATGGTTTAAGTATCGTACTATTAATTATGTTATTTTTATATTTACAATGAAAAAATGCAAACAATTTATCATTACTATATCATAAAAAAAATAAAAAAAATAAATGTATCACAGTTATATTTCATTGCTTGTTTTTGACTAGCAAAAATAAAAGTTACGGTAATTAATGCTTCTTAATCTAAGATTTATTAATTCATTGGCCAACAGTATTTAAATCAACTTAAACGTGAATTGTAGCTATACGTGAATCGTTATGCAGAGCCTCTTATAACAGTCAGTCCATTCCATTCAGGGATTATACGTGAACAGTATTGAATGAAGAATTTTCTGAATGAATCATGTTTATTTACAAGTTGAGTAATTACCCAATTAGTTGTTATTACTGTTAAAGTACAAACAAGGGTCAGGATTATACACAAATTGTCAGGGGTTAGTACTGTGGATAAGCATTTTATTAATATATATTTTGGTTATATACATGAAAAATGAGAGTAAAGCACCATGCTTACAGTGCTGTAAGATTTTTGGTAAAAATACAATATCAATTCTGAGTGATGTAATAAATAATTGACAAATATTTTTTATTATACTTTTTGTACTTTACTCTCAAAGGGAAAAATTTTTTTAATCATCAGTAACCTGTTTTTTTTACCTGAATCAAACTTGCTGTCTGGGTAGACTGCGAAATTGAATTGAACCTGAAAAAATGTCTACGTAAAACTTTTCTCTTTTAACAGACTATCACAGGGTTTTCTATCAGAGACTTTTAAAATGTCAGTTTGCTGAGGATTTTTTTTTAACCTTTGATTTATGCTAGACTAGAATTTTGTACGATGAATTAAATTTGAAAAAGTATCACATTTTATGTTAAACGTAGATTATATTTTACTTTATATTAGTTAAAATTAAAAAAAAAATCGTTTACTCCTTTTATTCATACACTAATTTTTTTACTATGATGCTTTTACTTTATAGTGTGATCGTAGACACCCTCTACTGTTTTTTTCTTCTACAACTCACTAAATGTATAAAAAACTATTAATATATTCAAATTTTGAAAGACTGACTAATATATAAGACTCTGCACGAGGATGTTCTAGCAACCAAATGTAATGATGAATCGCGTATTTTCAGTTACGTCCCACGTAAAATTTTATTGGAATAAATTTCGCATTGTCTTCATACGAATTTATAAGCTGTAATTAAAAAAAAAAAAAACTTTATAACAACACGAAGTTTCCATACAGTTGATGATCTAAATGATCTAAGCCCAAAACTGAAAAAATATACTTTTAAATGAAAACTAGCAATCCACGCTCGTGAAAAACGTTTATGAAACAAACTTAAATTAAATAGGTGTTCCAAAACCGTCACTACTAAACATAAAATAAAGAATTCAGCTGTTGCCTATGAAAGAACATGTTTTTGCTCATCACTACATCATTCTACCATAAAAATGGAATAAAAAAAAAGGAGTGAGGGGTTGACAACAATTTTTTTCGAACAATTAACTTAAAATGAACTAAATTTGTGGATCTAAGACTACAATATTTAGGCAACAGCCGTTTTTCGTAAGCGTCAACTAACGGAAAAATCAAACATTAAAGTAATGAATGGAAAAAAATAAAAGAATAATACAAACTCTTGAGACAATTGCCACATAACAAAAACCATGTTATGACACCATGCACCTCCCATTTGAGTGGATCGAGGATGAAAACTGCAATTTCAATAACAACAATCACTGGCAACATTTATCTCTCTTGCCAATCTTAAGTTTGTCTTTCATAGACTAATCAAATATAAAGTTTTTCAATCCTATTGGGAAAATTGCAGTATTTTGGAACAACAATTGTTCTACTATGAGACCCCTGGTGGTTTCATCAAACCCGATAGCCTACAGCTTCTCTTTCTATTTAACAAAGTCCAATTTCCAATTTAAAAAAAAATTCAATCCCATTCCACCTTCCCCCCTCGCCGTAATTAACCAATCAGCTTAGTATCGTCGCGCCATCGAGTTTATATTCACTTACTTCGCAAATGCATACTTGAAGTCTATTAAACAGAAAACATAAATATACATATATATAAATCTACGAGCATCCTAGGCCTTTTGTTGGTTTCAACTGCATAATTTATTTTCGTACACAAGAGGCACAAAACAGTTACACATAAAACGTGTATCATTAAGTCAAAAAGTCAACGATAAAAAAAGTACATACCAACAACAAATTCAAAGACTAAAATACATAAATCACGAATGCGTGACGAATCGTGATAGCTTGCACATCATTAATATTGTATCAAGAGAGAAAAAACACCAGAAAAAAGTTACAAAAGTCATTCAATTCGAAAAATGTAGTTAAAAATATTGTAAACACATGACCCAAATGCGTTGACTTACATCGAAATTTCATAGCGTGTCGTATCACTATAAACCTTTCATGATAATATAACTGTACAACTCAATATATTGTGTGTGTATTGTATCATCACAGCGTGCGTTATTATACGAGAGCATTGAAAGCGCAGAAATAATTCGCGTTTGCACAGCAAAAATCTACCGGCTAGCCAAGTCCCCTATGCCTGTCGATGGCGAGGTTGGTGATCAAAGTGCGACAGTCAGAAGCTATAGGCTATAAATTCCACATTGTTTACTCACACACACGCGCACACATATACACACAAATTTTCCAATGAAAGCACATCGTCATAGAAAAAAAGAAAAAAAAAACCAAGTTTATTTTGCTGACACGTGCCGAAACTGGAACGACCACGAGATGACGAGATCGATTTTGATTCGCTTTCTGTCTCTCTTTGCTATACGTACGCGACACGCCAAACACACGTAAAAAACGTACGACAAACAAGTCATGTATATATTATGTGTTTGTGTGTACTTATTGGAAAAAAAAATATATATATAAACACTCAGATTAGTCCGTTTTACGGTACTTTTTTTTCAACAGACTTCTAAAACATGATAAAAACCACCAAAATAAATGCTTCTGATAACAACTTTGAGTCATTCATAGCATGTTAAGAAATAAAAGATTCGTTTTTAAATTATGTAAATAAATTAGGAACCTAAGTTTAACTCACATGCCACATAATTAATGACTTTTTCCGTATTCATGCTCCTACATAATAACAATTTTCAAGTCAAAAATAACTATTCATTTGAAAACTGTTGCATTAGCAATACTTTGGACATTGAATTGAACAATAACTCAATCGAGCATTAAAAGTAGACTTTGACATGAACTTTATAAAAAAGATATTTCGTTGATGATTAAGGAAGTACAGAATCAACTTCTCAATGACAAATATCAAAGTCAACTTTTATAAAACTAAATTCATGTTGAACTTTGCATTCAAAGAAATTGCTAACTCATGAATCATCGAAATTCAAATTTTGTAATTTTTGTTAACATCATTCTTTTTCAATTAACGTGAGGTGTAGGTGTTTACATACAGTGTATACAAGCTGCAGTTTTGTTCAGTGATTGTTAGAATATTAGGGCTTATAAATATACAATATCGCGAAGGTGTAGTACATAGCATTAAAAATAGATTAACAAGATACTGAAGAAAGAATTATAATCATACATATTAATTATTATAATCATTACTTTTATCATATAACGATCATTATCAGTACAACTAAATAATCATTTAAAAAAATAGTAGTAGTAGTAGTAACAATGTATAGACAAAAGTCTCGATTATAGCAGTTACTATTTAAACGATAAATTACAAGTCGTAGTGGCAGTAGAGTATAAATATATAAAAAATAAATAAATTGAGTAATGATAACATAAATAATAGTGGTAACAACACGATATATATATATTATGAAGGCAAGAGAGTTGGCACAGAAGGTAGTGGTATAGTGATTAAATTAGCAGTAGTAATAAGGTAATAGTATTAAAAGTTAATGAACAAATGCAGATATAATTGTTGCTTGTAATTGATGAAATACTACCGAAGCTGCTATACTGTCTGGTGTTGGTGAGGATATACGGGGAAGAAGTCAAAGAAGCCTGGGAGGAGGTGGTGGCCGAGTAGCCGCGAATGTCAACACTGCGCTGAGTATGGAATGGAGCGTGGAAGCTTGACGCAAAGCCACCCCCGGAGGAGGTAGAGGCCGTCGAAGCCTCGGCGTGGCTGGCCTCGTAGTGGCTGACCGAGGTGCTCAGACACTTTTGCAACTTTCGTATACCTTGGGCTCGGCAGCCGCCACCCGAGCGCCCGGGACTGACCGCCTCGGATCTGCGGAACAACGAGCTCGCTGACTGGCCGAGGCTACTGCTGCTGTTCTTTTCTCCTCCCGATGATGATGGTCCTGCCAATCCGGCATCTTCGATGATCTCGTCCCCAGTGGCATTACCTGACTCGCACACCGCGCTACTATCGACCTCTGCACCTCCTCCTCCTCCTCCTCCTCCTCCTCCTGATCCTGATCCTCCGATAGTCGGTGAGACGCACGTCCCGTTCATCTACAAACCAGCCAAATCACACATTCCCATCCATTTAGCTCCAAGTGTAACCCATTAACCCTTTTCCATTATCACCAACGAGCTTATCTTTTTTCGCCAAACTTTGTGCATTAGGGAACACCGAGTGGTATGTTGGTGCTTGTAATGCAATCGGCTCTGAACATTCATCAATTGTGAGGGGTAGGGGGATTTAACTCATTGTTTTCTACTCGTTTGCTTCCTTATGTATGTGTGTATATACGGGCAAGAGTGCCCTCGCTCTCTTTTCTTCCTCGACGCCATATTCTACTTTATTCGCGCACCTCCGTGCACATAGACACACCGATGCTTTCGGATGGTTGCGGTTTACTCGACTATTGTGGGGCTTTATCACTGGCTTGTTTTAAACAGACTAACACACAAAGTGATCAAGTGTCTAATGGTAAACGGTGTGGTTGCTGTGGTTGTTCGGATATGGCACGGTGTAGTGTTTATTCGTACAGGATTGATGTACTTCTTCAGGAATTCGTGAAAAAACAGAAAAACATTGATAGTTGTAGATGATCGTATAAAAGTGTTTTTACAGGATATTTTTTAAGTCAATTGATCTAGAGGAACAATCAAATGAGTTGGTCAGTCCGTTGCGATAAGCATAGTGCAATAATGTTTAGTGTGAAATTCTTGGATTGCTATCGATGCTTTGACACATCATGAATTACACACTTCTGTTCTTATCAGTGATTTAAAAAAATCTCAACCAGTGATATACTACCATACAACTCTTGTTAAGTTTTTCAATCACCGTAAGGAGTTAAACATCCTTTGTCTTGGAATCCTTGTTTAGCATTTATTATTCATTGACACGATGAAACGAGATTTTTTCCATAGCCACAATGGTTTGATACGCTGTAGAAAAAATTATTACTATAACATTATTATATTGCGTACGAAGTGTGAAAACGTTTAAAGTGAGTGTTGAATTCATTTCTTTTAAACATATTCGCAATGAATATACACAACTATTTCCATCGTCTTAAAAGTTAGAACATCATTGAAAAGGTATCCGCTACAGGTTGTGTGGCTTAAGTACTATAATATTTATGCGAGTAAGATTTTTATAGCTGGACTTAAAACTATATCTTATTCGTTTTGTTTTATAAACTTTCATTCCATAGAGAATGAATTTTTTTATGAACAATGATGAGTACAATAAATATTTTTTTCACATGAAAATTTTTTCATTTGTTCTTAAACATAATTCCTCATAAATGATTACACATAAATGTATACAATTTTTCGCATTAAAAAACATTTTTATAGTATAAAATATTACTAAGAGTAATCGCAATTACGCAAACCAATTTTCCAACTTTGATTTTTTTGTACAGTACACAAAATGAACTTACAGAATCCTAAAATATAGAAAATAGTACGAGCTTAATAATAACGGAGGTGGTGTAAAAATTTTCAAACTACAAGTATTATGAGATTTCTGTCGTATTTGTAAGTATATTGTTCACTTCAAAAAAAGTGACTAGTACATGGGTATAGGAGTTTACATATTTCGGAATGGAGGGAGAATCAAAATGGTCCCCTAAGATTTTCCTTGCTTATTTACCTGAGATAAATCTTCAAAACAACAGGGAGAAGCTGCAACAGAGATCTGAAACCTCTAATAATAGAATAAAAATAAAAGTGCCATGTATAAGGGTTTGCGAGATAAAAACCACCAAAATAAATGCTTCTGATAACAACTTTGAGTCAGTGGAGACTAATCAAATGGACCATTTTTATCACCACAGTAGAATCTCTTGAAGAGAATCCTTGTGGCTCGTAGTAATGGATACCCTAGCGTGGCATGATACGTACGAACGAGAATTCATTTGTCAAAAACTCGATGGCTCACCGGCAAATCTTCGTCTCTTACTTTTACGAGCGGCACAACTTGATGTGCCGCTGATAAAACAGCCGGCAAGAAATTCATCTCTCTTTCTCTTTTTCTCTGTTCATTCTGCCTTTCTTAGCTTCGTAAGATGCTTACAAAAATGTTGCTTTATGCTCGAGGATTTTTATCTGATTTTACAACTTTGCACCCTAAAACTGTACTCTGTTCCCATCTGTGTCTTTATTATACAGAAATAAAGTTAAATGGCTAAAGTAGCTCATATAAAAGGTCTTCATTTCTAATACTTGAGTATTTTTTCATCAATGAGAACCTGCAAATTCGATAATTTAAGTATGCTTGGCCATTGTTTAAATCTTGCATTAACCTTAACCGCATCTATGGTTAACAATATACATATGTTATTGTATATATATCATGGTTTAAGTATCGTACTATTAATTATGTTATTTTTATATTTACAATGAAAAAATGCAAACAATTTATCATTACTATATCATAAAAAAAATAAAAAAAATAAATGTATCACAGTTATATTTCATTGCTTGTTTTTGACTAGCAAAAATAAAAGTTACGGTAATTAATGCTTCTTAATCTAAGATTTATTAATTCATTGGCCAACAGTATTTAAATCAACTTAAACGTGAATTGTAGCTATACGTGAATCGTTATGCAGAGCCTCTTATAACAGTCAGTCCATTCCATTCAGGGATTATACGTGAACAGTATTGAATGAAGAATTTTCTGAATGAATCATGTTTATTTACAAGTTGAGTAATTACCCAATTAGTTGTTATTACTGTTAAAGTACAAACAAGGGTCAGGATTATACACAAATTGTCAGGGGTTAGTACTGTGGATAAGCATTTTATTAATATATATTTTGGTTATATACATGAAAAATGAGAGTAAAGCACCATGCTTACAGTGCTGTAAGATTTTTGGTAAAAATACAATATCAATTCTGAGTGATGTAATAAATAATTGACAAATATTTTTTATTATACTTTTTGTACTTTACTCTCAAAGGGAAAAATTTTTTTAATCATCAGTAACCTGTTTTTTTTACCTGAATCAAACTTGCTGTCTGGGTAGACTGCGAAATTGAATTGAACCTGAAAAAATGTCTACGTAAAACTTTTCTCTTTTAACAGACTATCACAGGGTTTTCTATCAGAGACTTTTAAAATGTCAGTTTGCTGAGGATTTTTTTTTAACCTTTGATTTATGCTAGACTAGAATTTTGTACGATGAATTAAATTTGAAAAAGTATCACATTTTATGTTAAACGTAGATTATATTTTACTTTATATTAGTTAAAATTAAAAAAAAAATCGTTTACTCCTTTTATTCATACACTAATTTTTTTACTATGATGCTTTTACTTTATAGTGTGATCGTAGACACCCTCTACTGTTTTTTTCTTCTACAACTCACTAAATGTATAAAAAACTATTAATATATTCAAATTTTGAAAGACTGACTAATATATAAGACTCTGCACGAGGATGTTCTAGCAACCAAATGTAATGATGAATCGCGTATTTTCAGTTACGTCCCACGTAAAATTTTATTGGAATAAATTTCGCATTGTCTTCATACGAATTTATAAGCTGTAATTAAAAAAAAAAAAAACTTTATAACAACACGAAGTTTCCATACAGTTGATGATCTAAATGATCTAAGCCCAAAACTGAAAAAATATACTTTTAAATGAAAACTAGCAATCCACGCTCGTGAAAAACGTTTATGAAACAAACTTAAATTAAATAGGTGTTCCAAAACCGTCACTACTAAACATAAAATAAAGAATTCAGCTGTTGCCTATGAAAGAACATGTTTTTGCTCATCACTACATCATTCTACCATAAAAATGGAATAAAAAAAAAGGAGTGAGGGGTTGACAACAATTTTTTTCGAACAATTAACTTAAAATGAACTAAATTTGTGGATCTAAGACTACAATATTTAGGCAACAGCCGTTTTTCGTAAGCGTCAACTAACGGAAAAATCAAACATTAAAGTAATGAATGGAAAAAAATAAAAGAATAATACAAACTCTTGAGACAATTGCCACATAACAAAAACCATGTTATGACACCATGCACCTCCCATTTGAGTGGATCGAGGATGAAAACTGCAATTTCAATAACAACAATCACTGGCAACATTTATCTCTCTTGCCAATCTTAAGTTTGTCTTTCATAGACTAATCAAATATAAAGTTTTTCAATCCTATTGGGAAAATTGCAGTATTTTGGAACAACAATTGTTCTACTATGAGACCCCTGGTGGTTTCATCAAACCCGATAGCCTACAGCTTCTCTTTCTATTTAACAAAGTCCAATTTCCAATTTAAAAAAAAATTCAATCCCATTCCACCTTCCCCCCTCGCCGTAATTAACCAATCAGCTTAGTATCGTCGCGCCATCGAGTTTATATTCACTTACTTCGCAAATGCATACTTGAAGTCTATTAAACAGAAAACATAAATATACATATATATAAATCTACGAGCATCCTAGGCCTTTTGTTGGTTTCAACTGCATAATTTATTTTCGTACACAAGAGGCACAAAACAGTTACACATAAAACGTGTATCATTAAGTCAAAAAGTCAACGATAAAAAAAGTACATACCAACAACAAATTCAAAGACTAAAATACATAAATCACGAATGCGTGACGAATCGTGATAGCTTGCACATCATTAATATTGTATCAAGAGAGAAAAAACACCAGAAAAAAGTTACAAAAGTCATTCAATTCGAAAAATGTAGTTAAAAATATTGTAAACACATGACCCAAATGCGTTGACTTACATCGAAATTTCATAGCGTGTCGTATCACTATAAACCTTTCATGATAATATAACTGTACAACTCAATATATTGTGTGTGTATTGTATCATCACAGCGTGCGTTATTATACGAGAGCATTGAAAGCGCAGAAATAATTCGCGTTTGCACAGCAAAAATCTACCGGCTAGCCAAGTCCCCTATGCCTGTCGATGGCGAGGTTGGTGATCAAAGTGCGACAGTCAGAAGCTATAGGCTATAAATTCCACATTGTTTACTCACACACACGCGCACACATATACACACAAATTTTCCAATGAA